GAAAGCCAAAGGCAACTTACGCTTAAATTAAAGGCGAGTACTTTGTCCATCTGGTCTATGCCACTTGCTTGTCAAGCACAAGCACCTCACACCAAAATCACAAATTCACAGAATGGTTTGAGTTGCAAAGTTGAGTTAAACACTTTCGAGTTCTAGCTCACCTGCCACAGGCATAGACACCTCCCACTAGACCAAGTTCCTCAAAGCCCCATCCAGCCTAGTCACAAACATATCCAGTGCTGGGGCCCCTCCAGCCTCCCCGGGCAACCTGTTCCAGTGACTCACCACCCTCACAGTGGAAAACTCCTTCCTCATTTCTCACCTAAACCTACCCTCTTCCAGTTTAAAGCCATTGCCCCTCATCCTATCACTACAAAATCCTACCACCTGGTATTGAGTTCCTCCCCAGCTTTCCTGCAGGCCCCCTTCAGGCACAGGAAGGCTGCAGTAAGGTCTCCGCAGAGCCTTCTCTTCTCCAGGCTGAACAACACTAACACTCTCAGCCTGTCCTCGTAGGAGATGTGTTCCAGCCCTCTCATCATCTTCATGGCCCTCCTCTGGACCCGCTCCAACAGTAAACATGGTTTTCCCACCCATATTTTGAGCAGTGCTGCAGTTACCCATTTACCATCATTCAGCCTGGACCACTACACGAACCGGTTTGCCTGCTCTGCCACGGCTTAGCCAGAGGTAATTCTGCAAATGCCACGGCAAGAACAGAGCAGTTCAACATCTCACAGGTGGGTGCTAATTGCTTCTGCAACCTCCAGCTTCAACCCAGCATTAGGCCCACAGCTAGGAAGGACACTAACAAATTGAAAAGGCAAAAAAACAGTACTATGGATCAGAACAGACGAAGGAAACGCTGCTTACCCTGAAGAAAGAAGATGAGAAAATAGACAAAGTACAGAGGTGAGTCCTGGAGAAGATGACCTGAATTACAGCAGCTCATGGGGCGGTACCCTCGGAGGGTCACCCTCCAAGTACATACTTAGTGCCAGGCCTGAGAAAAAAAACACTGTTACTAAGTTAATGCAGCCAAGGGGAGAGGGGGGAACTTGGGAGTTGGGTGGACAGGGCACAGAGGGTACATTTTGTTCCTTAATATAGAAGGAGCAATGACCGAAGAAGCAGACTTTCCTCACCCACAGCCAAGTCCTGGTGAAAATCAAGAGAAGCCACTGTAGAGACCAACTCAGAAGATCACAGCTGCTTTGGTAGAGTGGTAAGGCCTGAACAGTGCAGATAGCTTCCAAGGAAAAGCAACTTTTCTTTAAAAGGTGAAGAACAAAGGTTTTTTTCCCAGCCCCCCTCCCCTTCTTTCCCCTCACCCCTTCCACCCAAATGAAAGTGTAAACATTTGACCCCAACACACTGAATTCTGGCTACCCTTTGTGTGGCTGAATGTGCCAAACTTATGCTAGTCTACACAGAAAATTACTCCCATTATGCAGTATTATCAGCTGTAAAAATTAAACAGAACACAGAATTAAAACAGATGGAAGATGAACAATAAAGGGATTAAGATCTAAATTAAGATTTACTATTAAAAATAACATTTTATTCTAAAGCTCCATATATAACAATGTATTTGAAAACTTTGTTCTTCACTTTTAAGGCCATGTTATACTGAAGAGCCCTGTAGCTTGAGTCACAAGCTGTCATATCCAAGTACACCTGGAAGGAAGCAGCAGATGCAGAAAGGGGGAGAAAGAAGTGTGTAGCCTGGAGAGTTCAGAAACTATCTCCACTGAAGAGGAAAGAAAGACAAGTTAGATGAAGGGAAAAGGGGGAAACATTAAAACAGACCAACTGTGAAGAAAGGACTGGGAACAGACTTTGCTTGTAAACCAGAACAGCTGCCCTTGTACTTCACCACAGTTAATGAAGACTTTTCACAATTGCCTTGGTAGCCAAAATGAGCATAACCCCATGATATTCAGGCACACACGTACATTTAAAAGAAAATATGCTGAATGATAAACCATGCTAATATATCTCAATTCCTTTAAAGAGAAGTTAATATTTTGTTGAAGAGCACAAGTTTAAGCTCAACAACCCCTTGAAACGACAGGCTTCAATGTTGCTCTGATAAAAATACTGAATCTTTATGAGGACATACAAGTTCCAGAAGAAAACTAGCTACATACAGTTCATTACAGTTTTATAGTTAAAAGGGGTGTGTGTTTAAAAAAAACAAAGAGAACAAAAAATCAGAAGGCACGCATGCTTATTGTATCTGTGCTATTCCTGAAAACCTGGCAGTAAGTTAAAGCACCTTCCTCCCAAAACCATGCTTAAGATACCAAGGGCCTTACAACACACACAAAAATACAAGCATTATTTTCATTACTAACTCTGCAAAGGCTATCTTCCCTTCCTACTTCCTTGTTCTTCCCACCTGAACTCCTCCAACCTGATATACTTTCACACAGTTCCTCAACCTCAGGTAAACTGTTGAAATGGGAACACACCATAAAGATAAAATACCAGAATCAAACAAGAACGTTCAACCCACAGAAAACAAATACAGTGGCAACCTATCACTTGGACTGTGGATCAGAAATTAAATTATGACATTCAGTTCAAGCAGTGAAGAGCTTTGCCAACAGGACACAGTTTGATTAACCAAAATTATAGAAAAGCTTCTTAAAAGTTTTGACTAATAGCAGGATGGATCCTTCTTCATGGAAAAGCAAAGCACTGTGAATGGAAGAAGTAGGTGGATGCTTAAGTCTACATATATTTTAAATAAAGAAGGCCTCAGTATATTTTCTTTCAGTCAGCAAAAAACCTTATAGACATACACGAGTCATGCATTCTGAAGAGAACATATACCATGGCTCAGCCTATACAGGACAATCCCATTCTCCCTGCAGAAAGCAGAAATGTGACACATACACGATTGAATGCTTCAGCAGTGAGTGCTCTAATTAAGCCTACCTCTTCATGAAAGATCATCAAAGGGCACCAGGGAAAAAAGTAAGCCTCAGGGGCACAGTCTTTCTTCTTCAATCTTCCTTCAATGGAATCCCTTCCACATCAGTCTGGGAAGAAACTGTACCCTATTTTATAGAAAAAGCAGTGCCAAAGCCAAAGTCTGTTGCACTGGAAAAAAAGCCAGGAGCTAGCTAGAGCTACCTCACCATCTAGGACCTGCTGTTATGCAAGATCAACACGCATCCATTCAAGGAGGGGACTGATGCACAGTGCTTTACTTTGCCATGGGTCTTGAAGGGAAACTGCCAAAATATTCAACCTGTACAATGCAACAACCTAAGCACAAGTCTCTGACTCCTGAAAATCACTGGTGGTTTTGAGCAGCTTCTTTCTGCCATATGCCAACTCTCAGCAACTAACACTCTACAACGTGCATTGGCTAGTCAGTCATGACAGCTGGTTCTGTGCTAGGCCCCTCTCTCTACTCTGCAACTCCCACCTCCCTCACTGTGGTTCTCTGAAGCAAAAGCTGCCTAGTTCTCTGTCCAACAGCCTCTATTATTGATTACTGTGCTTTGGATTGTCATAATTGATACATATTAATCTTAGAGCTTTATTCAAATCTGACCAAGCACTCCCTTTCAACTGCATGTTGTTATTGCAACATGGCAGGGCTACTGGATCATCAGAAATAAATTTGTGTTACTTTTTTGTATACTTTTACATAGTCAACCACAGTATTTCTGTATTGGATTGTTTTGCCATTAGTTACTTTTCTATATCCTGGATTCTGCTCACAACGTCCATTGCTGTCCTGCACAGTATCACTACACATATTCAGGTAAAAGCAAAACCCACATCCTTCTAAATAATGCCTGATAACTGAACGCAGGCTCCTCACACTTTCTGGGCCTCCATTATGATCAAGTCACTAGGAAAAAGTAGTATACCTAAAAGCTGTTTGGTCAACACAAAGCCTTAACTGCAAACATGTTTACTAACTCAAGCTACCAGTTTCCATGTGGTTTAAGAATTTAAAGGTCTACTGCAACATTCCTAGTGCCCGTGTTTCAAATACTAACAGTGACACATTTTGAGATCTGTTTCTTAATTTGTGTTAAGTACTGTAGAAAATAGACAATAGAGAAACCCTGAAGAAATGGACCACCTGTGTGATGGTGGAAGGCAGCACGGAGGCTGCCAGCATCACAGCAAGTACTGCGTGACCTTGCAGCTAACAAACAGGAATGACTTAGGGCTACATAAACTCGGACCACTCAAAGCTCCAACATCAAAAAAAGCCTGGCTTCTCACTTAATTTTATTACCCAGTAAACAAGAGAGGTGGTTACAATCAAGGTATGTTACACGTCAAAGCAGAACATGAATACGATATATCACACACTTCACTCTGAAGCATTCAGCATTTCATTCCTTGGCTACAATTTCCCGTGCCAAACACATGCAGTCATGATGCAAAAACCTCTGCATCTTCCCCTCTGCAGTCAGGGACCTGGCTAAATACATTTCCATCTACCTTGTATATTCCCAGGCCTAACACACAGTCTCACTTCTCCTCTTCTGCTAACTGTAAGAGATCACCTTACATTACAAAAGGAGCAGCTGGGAAAGGAGAGGTATATTTAAATGCGCATAAAACAGGAAATAATACACTGTACTGTGTATAAACTACTTTGTGCAGGATAGTATTTATTTGAAAAAAAAAAAAAGAGTACGTGTGGGTGGACGAAAGGAAAAACATCGAGCAGCAGTCATTCTTTCTAAATGAAAGTATTAATAAAGATTTATTTTTTTTCAGTAGTACTCTTATTTCTTAGGACACAGACTGCACTAGAAAGGAAAAAAAAACCCAAAGCCATACAAGTCCATTCACATACCTGTGAGACTTTTAAAACTTAGTATTTGGCACCTTACTATAAAACATACTGGTAGGAAGATTATTCAAGACAAAATAATTGTTTTCAGCTTGTTTTAAAAATTGAGTATGTAAAAAGGAACGCATTTAGCAAGCTGATGTAATGTAAAAATTAAAATACTTACTGCGTAGGAGCCTATGAGGAATGCAGCATTTGCTTGTTTTTTCTGATCAAAGCCAGTAAAATGAATTATTTTCTTCCTTATCAGTGAAAATGACTGTATCAAGAAATGAACAAGATTATGATTTTGCATTTTAGACTTTTCATGCCTTCTTTTATAAAATGAGAGGAATGCAAGGGTCTGTTCACTTACTTTCAGCCACCTGTATTCAGAGGACCAAATATACTGCAGACTAGTCCCTCAAAAACTCTGGAAGCCTCTACTGCATCCCTATCTAGACTGTTCCTGTATTTTTCCCAGCATCTGGCCTAAATAAATTTTGATACAAATTACAGTAATTTTTCTTTTCTCTAGAAATGCATTTAGTATTTATGAGTTCTAGCCCTATGTAAGAGGTGCTTATGAGAAGTAAATACAAAGTAGCATTCTCAAAAACATCACAGGCATGTTAAAGTCACAACAGTTTTGAAAACCAAATTTAGACTTTTTTTATTATTAAAGAAAACCTGATGCTAGATAAGTCAACTGGTGGTTGTTTCTGACGATCAGAACCACTGGAAAATGTATGCTTATATTAAATTATTTGGAAAGTATTTCCCAACTTTATCATAAGTAATGTTTTAAAATTTCATCTTGGCTTGGCATATAGTTTCTCCAGCTATCTTAGAAAGGCGGTGGAATGGCATTGACAATAGAAAGGTGGCACAAGTCCACATCTGTGGTGGCAGCAAAAACTATTCACTAACTGGCCCGTGAAACAAATTTTGATGCTCTTGAAACTGTATACTTTGATCACTGCTAAGCTATCATAAAATGTCAATATTTAAAAAGCAATGTTACTTGTTCAGATACTATTCAACATTCCCAAGACAAATATACCCCAGATCACTAGCGGAGTGTGTTCTCAGCAACTCTTAACATGCCTCTCCAATATCAAACCCAAGATTTTCAAAGGGTTCAACCTTGTGCTGCTTCAGAGCATCCTGTAAACAAAAATCAGAGAATCTTTCCTCTGGCAAACCTGTTAATTGTGCCACAGGGACAAAGCGAGACTGAATGATGCAGACAGGAACCAATGACAGGAATGAAAAAACATATCTCTGTTAAACTATAATGTTCTGCATACTTCTCAATTTTCACAGTTCAGTGTCAGTTTCAAGATCTGAGCAGTCTGAGGAGGCTAAATGTGCATCATAGTAATGCTAACAAGCTTTTTTATCAGTCTGACAGGTTTTATACTCCAACATCTGCTAAAGGTCAACTATCTTGAAGTCATTCATGCTGATTAATACAGGAACTCCCTGTTTTAAAGACACTATGCTCTATAAAGAGTCCAACACCAAAGCTCACTATGCACCCTCAGAAGACAATCTGCAGTAGGAGCTTGGCAGTCTCCAAGACAATGCCATAAACGCCACCAAAGACCAGTTGTTGCTTCTTACCAAAGAGATGCCGGGACCAGAAGAGCTCAAGTCAAAGAAAAATCTTCTCAACTAAAAACGTTTTGCATTGCACCCTCAAGTTCTCTCAGTACTGGCAGATAGGCAAGAAAACTGAATTCCAGGAAAGGATCTTTTCACTTTAAGAAGTCTGTAGAAAATTAGCAACTGGTCTTTTAGGAGCTTAATATTAGTTACTGCCACTGTGGTGCATCTTCTGTCTCTTAAAAGTAAGTGGGTTTCCCCTCCTAATCCTCTTCCTCCCTAAATTCACCTTGATAAAATTTAGCATTTATATGAAAAGCTTGGCTGGATCAGGAACCCAGGAAAGAACCTGAACAACAACAACAACAAAAAACCCTCCTGGCTCATTTGTTTTTGTTCTTTAAAAAGCCAGGAATATTGACTTTTTTTTTTTTTTTAAAAAGTATTACCTTTAATTTCTTATTTAGCTTGCAGCAGTATCTGTAGACCATTGCCAGATTGAGTGGCCCAAAGTCTGCATAGAAACTGGTAGGAGAAAGGGGAAAAATTATATATAATCTCTGCAGATATATTTTTTCTTTCCAGTCAGATCACAAAGCAAGTAATAATTATATGTGCTATACGTGCATCAGTCTAAAAACAAGAATGCCTTCTTACATACACACCATTTTGTTGGAGGAAATGGTTTTGCTATTCTTAAACAATGACTAAAACTTTTTTGTTTTCCACACACCACCACTCAAAGCCAAACTGAAATACTCAAGGTTTGAAAAGTTCTCACTACTCTGTGACACCAGTTTAGAAACCTTATTTTAAAAGCAATCTAAAAGCTTTACTTTAAAAGAAAGCAATTAACAGTGCTAGAGAAAAGTGAACACACAGAATGAAGGCTGATTAGTACTTTCAAAAACAGTATGCACACCCTTAGTCAAAAATATTTGAAGAATTAGCAACATTCCACATCACATGCAAAGGCATATACTGCTCAGTACAGGGGAAATAATATATCCATTGTCAGCTCGTAAAGGCTTGAACTGATTTTGCCAGTTTATTCTCTCATTCTATGACGTTTAGACATTCCACTTAATACTCGAGCTAGAAAAGACATTCTCTCCATCAGCTCACAGTACTCAGTGCATGCTTCTGAATATCTATTATTGCATCATGTTCCTGTGTCTTCTAACAAGACTGGGTACAAAGAAAGCTTCTGCTTTGAAAAGATTTTTAAGAAATCCTGATGGGAAGCCAAGAAACTGTTCTAAGTCATATAAATCATCATGGCAGATAAGCCTGAGAGGACTAAACTTGTGTAATTAGTTCTGTAATAGGAATGGTATGTTTCCCTCAGCTACATTTAAAAACAGACTGGTTGTTCATTGCTGTTTTTCTAATTTATTTCAGTAAAAAGCAGGAAAAAGTCTGTACTTACTTCTCATATACAAGTTCATCATCTATGCAGAAATAATGGGCATCTGCAGCTCCACTCTTTGGTTTTTGGCAGAGAATTGCGAAATACAGGCGATCTGTAACGCAAGAAAATTCAAGGCTTTTATAAACACACTTTTCTGCTAGAAGTCTGAAGTACTGCCTGTCAACAGAACAACTGTAGATGGTTTAAAATGAACCAAATCTTCTTTCAAGTATTACCGAACTACACATTACTATTACTCTGGTGTTAAGCCACGAGGCACACACAAAGACTAAGGCTTTTTGCCCAGCAGTGTTCCCGTAATCTGCAGCTTTTTACTGTTCCTTCCCAAACAAAGCACTCCCAGGAAAGCTACCTGTTTGACGACTTTGCTGTACAGCAGAAGCCTGACTTGTCCCCACGCACACAGCAGAGACCCACCTCCTTCTGGCAACAGACCCCACCTGTTGCCCTCCAGATACCAACATCCCCCCTGAACCCCAGCTAAGCCACAAATCCCTCAGCACCTCACAGAACCTATGTTACAATAAATGGCAAAGCATGCCCGCACTGAGGCACAGGCTCCTGCCAGCTTTCTGTAAAATGATGATTTTGACAGCAGCGGCGTGCAGAGAAAGCCTGCAGGTGATGGAGGCTGGAGGGATGCGAGGTGGCCGCCCACGGCTGCTGGCAGCAGAGCCACCACCTGGACATCCCCATCCCCATCCCAGTCCTCCTGCCCACTGCCCCTCCAGAGCCTGTGTGTGTGCAGGCAGGAGGCACCTTGTGCTTACCCTGGCTTCCTTTGTTAAGCCAAGGGGAAAAAACCACCACTGATATTCATATCGATATAAATTATTTTTATGGCCAGGGAAGCTATAGCCCCAGTGAACTTTAAACACTGCCTGTGCTGCTGCTGTAAATTGCTGTGTTTGCGGTAATTGGTCAATAAAAATTGAGGCCTTGCAGCACCACGGCAACACTTTTGTTCCTCTTGCTGAAAAAAAGATCATTATAAAATAAATGGATTAAAATTCAAACCTAAACAGGAAGAATTTAAATTTTGCAAACTAGTTGCCTGGAAAAGATAGGCTACTTAAATATCAAAACAGATCACCTGCATATAAACATTTAATTTCAAAGCCAGAGAGGAGCAGGGGAAAAAAAATCACTTCATGGTCTGAAACAAAATCCTGCATGACTAGCGCTTAGAAATCACTTCTTACAGTTTGAAAACACATCATGAAGTGTGCTGTGGCAGGAGTGCCCCACGTACAGCAAGGTCTCTGGGGGTGGCGGCAGACATCACCAACAAAAAGTGCACCTTTGCCCATTTCAGTAGCAGAGCGGCCTGATGCGAGTGGTTTGGCTCAAACATTCACAGGTCATGTGCACCCAGTGGGATATACAGTCACTCCTGAGCAAGTCAGCCACCTACTTCCTTCAGCTCACAACAGAAGCAAGGCACCAGACTTTCTTATTTAATTTCTAATAGTCCCATCTTGTAGGCACAGCAGCTGCAGTACCAGCCGGAAAGTGCGTTCCCTGCTTAGGAATTTCTGTACTTCCCAGCATTTACCAAAGCATCTGAAAACAAGCCACAGGATGACATTCGGAGTAACGCTGTGCATTCTTAACACTTTTCCCCACAGAGAAGCATGGGCACCAATACCCCAGCTGGATGCAACACACGCTATGGGGAAAACTGCTTCACAAAAAAGCAGTCCTGGGGAAGAGTTTAGGCCAACACTTCTGGGGTAGAGGGAGGTCCAGCTCCCCACAACTCCCCTGCATCCGTCCCCAGCACTGTGTTACTCCCTGTGCCATGGATCTGTGTGAACAGAGACTGTAACAGGCATCCTAGCACAATCTTTTAAAAAAAATTTAAAAGAAAATAAAAAAAGGAAGCTGTTTTTGCTGGTTTATTTCCCAGAGAGTTGCCCTAAGAATGAGAGCTAACCTGTGTATGTGGGAGGACTGAGGGCAAAAGAGGAAGCAGGAAGGTGAACTGAGTGGATATGATATCTAGGGATTGTGTTTAAACTGGCATTGCAAGATTAAACACATGTCACACTACAGCCCCAAGCTATAATTTCACACCACTTCTAAACTGATTTAATGGCTAGCTGCCACCAGGTTTCTGACGAGGAAAAGTTTTCTTCTGACTTAGCTCACGGAACCAGCCCACCAGGGGTTAACAGTGGGAATACACTGCCAGAATTTTTCCCTCCATTGCATCTGTCCTTTAGATCGAGTCTAATTATTGACTTAGACTGAGCTCTCCATGTACACAAACAACCTCCACATCAAAGTCTTGGCAGAACGGCTGTAGTATTAAAACTGACACGCCAACTTACTGCACATCAGCTTCTACACATAAAATTTACATCACTTTTGAAAATACAAAAGCACTACACAAAGAGTAGTCCAAAATCCTCAAACACAAAAGGAAGATCAAAATGAAAATGTATTTTCATGGGTCAAATGTATTAGTATTTCACTCCTCAACAGGATTTGCAGGAACAGAACCACTTGCTTCCTCAGCACTCCTTCTGAAAATCTTCTGCAGCTTTCACAAAAATGTCCAACCAAAATAAGAATTCCTAAATTGAGTGAACAGTGCCTACATGGCCTTTTGAATTGCTGCTAGCATCTAGTTCTGCACTGATGTCTCTGGATCGTGTTAATTGTTGCCATTCTTAAAACACCTGAAAGAAACTCAAGTTTAATGAATTTACAGAACTGCCTCACAATCAGAGCAGTGTGTGTCAACTGCCAACACCCTGACAAGCTGTCCACTCCTCTGCACCGCTAACAATTGCTCCCTATTATGTAAACAGCAGGCTCCATTATTTTAACGTTTCCTACAGGGAAATTCTAGAAAGAAGACTGCACAGAGAAGTCCTTTCCTCTAAGTAATATTTAACTTTCTACTGGCTTACCAGTCTGATATCAGGCAAATGCTGTATTACTAACCATATCTGTTTTTACCCTTTTTTTTGCAAACACATTCCCAGTTCTGTTTAGCCAAGGACTACTGTGTTGATTTCTTAACAACAGTAGCGCATGCTGAGGAAGTAGAATTCCTTCATTAAAGCTCTGAATGTAGGATGAGGGCTTATATATAAAATATAACACAGCACTGATGAATTGATTTCACCAGGACTCCACAAAGGTTTGGACTGCAGGAGCAAGGCTTCCATTTTATTATTTTTATGCTTCCTTCACTAATTTTAGCTTTGTAGTACTTCATTTACATAGACTGTGGTCGAGCACTACCAGATTCCTGCAAATTTCTGATAAAATGTCATCCTAAAACTATCAAACTAGAGCAGATCTTTCTAATCATCTCTCAGAAGGAGAGCGTAGGGCTCACTGCCTTGCAAGCTGCATCTGCACTGCAATTAGGAGATACGGCTGCAGTATGTTAGGTATCCTTCAGTTACGCTTATTTTTTTTTAGCCTCCTATAAGGAAGCAGTTAAAATACAGAAACACAGGCATCCCTGTAGGCATTTATTTTCAGTAAGCATCCAGTCCACAAGACATGAGCCTGCACACCCCTAACCGAGGACCATGTTACCACAGCTTTCTACTGCTGGTACATGAACTAGTGAGATTAAAGCTAGAACAAGCATGTCTACACAAGCTGTAATAATCACACATCTGATTGCCATGTGCACACAGAAGGAAAAGCATTTTGCTTGTTTTTCAGATCTACAGTGTTCTGTGGAAATAGATATGTACAAAATTATGAACTACCACTCCAAACCCATGTTAAAGTGAATACAGAGATGACAAAAAAATCTTCCTTTTCCTTTCAATAAGCCTAATGCTTCTCAGGATCTGCTGCAAGGCCTCGGAGAAAGAAATTTCACTAATTCAAGAGACAGCTAAATACCATGCAGGCAGTTGCTGCAGGACAAGTCTGCATATGATCAGCAAAGATTATTTCATAAAAAGAGAAATTCTACAGTTCTATTGTTAAACAGAAGCCTCTGAGAAATTCAGAGAGCACTGACAGCACAACAAAAGCCAACATTAGTCTGTTTTGAATTACCAGGAATGTGTAACCAGAGAGCTATTTACTATTGTAAAGGGAGTGTATTTCTAAATTCAGAGTTGGTACATGGTATTTTGTTGTGTTTGATTTGAAAGACTCCAATATATCAAGAAGAAACATGAGAAAACATAAATGACAAACGCTCTTGAAATATCAAGACAAAAAGCAAAATTGTATGAGACTCTTTTTAGTTGTTTTACCCTTGAAAAGATTCATTCACTCAAGTATGATATTGCAAATTCATGTGATGACAGAGCTGGTAATTATAAACAGTCTGGCCTCTGAAAAAATAAAATGTAAGCACAAAAGAAAGCTATAGGAAATTCTTATTTAACAAAAAACCATTACAAAGATTATTCTCAGAGCCGTGTCACGACTGACCAATAACACTGTGTTGTTTTACTCAGAGTGCTTGCACTCTCCTGCTCTTGTCTGACACACAAGACTACCTGACATACATTCATGCACTTTTAGTGCTGGATTAGGTACCAAAAGCGTGAAACTTGTATTTAAAATCTTAACTTTCAGAAAGACTCACAAATAATTGAGGTCATATTGATAAAAGAGTAAATACAACTTTTGTACTGAGACAGGTGTATAATGAAAACTAATTGAAAGCACTGATAGTCAAAATGTTGGAAAGCTTGATGGCACTTGGTAGAAGTCTCCTAAGTATCCAAAACGTTTTCTACATAATACACAAAGTTTATAATGCCAAGCCAGCAATACTGGAAAAACAAAAGACAACTCAATGATTTGAAAAAAACCAAAATAACCCTCCAAAAACAACCCACCTATCAATGAACATATGAAACCGCATGCTATTTCATAAGAACTCCAAGTGATAGTATAAGTAAAATTCTCAGTAAAGGGAAAGAAAGGGCATATACAATAAAGCTTAAAGTACTCTTTCAGATTTAAGTTCCTCACCATAAACAAACTGGATTTATAGTCATAAAGAGGACAGAAGTCAAGAAATGCCCCACGGTGTCATATCACTTAAAATTTAATTCCGTGTATAGCTATTGTAGTTACTTCATTTTAAAATTAACTACTGAAAAGAAGTGAAAGGGAAATACACACCTGCTGCCTGTGGTTTACCCATTATAATTCCACAACTTCTTTACAATGTTGTTTATAAAATCAGACCAATGACAAAGAAACACAGCCAAGGAAAGGAAATCACCAGCTTTCAAGCATCTCACACAGAGTTGTTACATTTTCCTTAGATCATATAAATTACTTCTTTCAGACATCAGAAGGATATGGGAATATGCTTCTAATAAACAGAAGAAATGCATTCAGTTCCAGCAAATTGAATTCATACCAGCAAGCCTCACGCATTAGCTGACAAAAGGAAAATGGTAAAGCTTACCATCCAACTTAACAGACCAAAACGTTAGGTGGTGTATTTTTTGTTTTGGTTTGGTTTGGTTTTTTAAATAGCTTTCCTGAACTAGTCTTAATAAGGAAAAAAAATATTTAGATGATTCTGACTAAAAACTATTGACATATGGCTGATGCATACAATTCATTAGGAAATAAATACAGTAACTACTGAAGTATTTTGAGTATAAAATCCATGCAAGTTATGGATTACAAACTTTGCTGTTTATGAATGTAACATCACACAAGAAAAGATCTATAAATCTTTACAGCTATTTGGGTTTATTTTCTGCCTCTGTCTTTAAGCAAAGATGAAAATAAGTGTAGCCTGCACATTCTTAATGAGGTTGGCCCCGTTTGTGTAAGCAGATAAGCTAACACAGATCTCTCAGCCTTCACAGAGGCTACAATATTTACCAGTACGTCCATTTGCAAGAATTAGCCATGATGCTGTAACCTATCTCCAGTCCAGAAGTATTAATTCTTTTTTCAGAAATGTATTATGACAAGGCAGAACTGGCAGTTCAAAACTTGAAATAACTTTCAAAACAACTGAATAAAATGGTAAGCCTGTGGGCTTATTCTTTTAAGGTTTCCCTTTTTAAAATGTGTGTGACACACCAGCATAATAAAAATTATTGCTATAATCGTTTCATTATTAGAAGGTTGTAAACAGCAGCCACCGTGTGCAGTAAGAAGATCAAGACAAAATGAAGCATTATTAAATACAGTAATCTACTGCATTTTAATCAAGGTTGTTGTACGGTGTGCTGCGGTGTATGGTGAAAGCCCACGGGAGAAAAAAAAAGTCAAAGCCTAGGTGCTCTACTGCGTTACTTAGATGGGTGAACATTTCTCTGGAGGAGAAAATATTGTAACCTAAAGG